GTGCGCTACCCAGTAGGATTGGAAACTACATGTGCTCAACTGTATATAAAAAATCAAGCACCCATTTTTAAAAATTAACTGTAACTTTTTTTTTTATAACATCTAATAAGTGATTTGGTTCTCCTCCAAAATGTAATCATTTTATGGAATATCATACATAATTTTTTATTTTAAATGATTTCGATATCAATATTGTATTGTATTGAACATGCTCAAATAATTTGAAATAAAAAACAAAAAAAACTATGATTAAATCGTTCTTTATAAGGTATAGCCAATGAAATCATTCTTAAATTATTTAGGAATAATATTTTTCAAACACATGTACGAATAATATTTTTTAAATAAATTTTTAACATTTTCCTTTTGACCTTGAACTGCACGCTCCCGACCACCTTGAAACTTATAAAGATGTAATATTATTATTATAATTAAAAAAATGTAATTACATCTAAATTTACCGTTTGCTAATGGAAAAATCATAATTTCATTTTCTTGTTTCAGGCCAAACAACGTGCCTCCGTGAAATGGCTCCTCTCGAAGGCTTACAACAACCGCGTGCCCGACAAACTTCGGGAGCCTTATTACCGCGATCACGAGGTAATGTATTCGCACATTATTATTAATATACACATTTTCCATGCGGCTGTACTTTGAGTTATATGTGGGAAAGAAATATTTCCTTCGCGTGCTTACCGTTAATTTTAAATTAGTTTTTTTTTTTTTTTTTTTTTTCGTGCACTTTGATGCTTCTAATTAAATTCATACGCTCGTACGCGGCGTAATAAATAAGAATCCGTATTACGTAAGAAAAGGGCGGTGAATATGCTATGATCTTGTTTTAAGCGATTAACTTCATACCTCGTATATATTTAAATATGTGCATGTGCGAGGAAAAAAAAATAGTCGTGGAAGTTAGTTGGCAGAACATAATACACCTGTAAAAAGCTAGTGGCGTATACATGCATTATCATCTTTGAGCGGCGCGCGAACTTTTGAGAAAGTTTCAGTATGCGCGTTTTGTAAATGCCGAATTTACGAGTTTGGTGAACTAGTTTGTTTCGCATCGGGTTGGCCCTGCTTTTCGTGCATTCTTGTGTAAATTGTTTTCAGGGTTTATTTTCACGTACAAATTTTTCGTTGCACGCAGTTGATTTCAAAATAAATCTTTTTTACAATTTATTATTATTATTTTTTTTTTTACCGTAAAATAAAAAAACACGGACTTGGGAATGAATTCCATGCTCGGCTCGTTAATTCGGTATATTAGGCGCAAATTAATTCATAAATTTTTATCGGTTTTACGGTAAATTTGATAAAATATTACTTATAGTGTTAAAAAAAAAATTCATTTAATTTTATAAATATTTTTGTTTACAAAATTTAATAATTACGTTTTCTCATTGATGTTAACAAGATTATGTATTGAATTGTATTTTTTAGTAAAAAAAATTAACATAATCATATTTAACTTGATGATCCCTGCTTATACTTTATAAAGTGATCAACACATGCATGAATTGCAAAATTTTATTATTTTTTTTTTCTAGTTAGTTTTATAAACCAGCACAAATTTTGATTGTTNGTACGTAAGGTAAGTATTCAAAAATTGTAGTATATTGTTGAACAATTGTAATTCTTATTGTAGGAATCATTTTATAATATTCATTCAACGTATTTTACAAAATTGTAATTAAAATTTAATATACATTATTTACTCATTAAACTATATACATTTTACATAAATATTTAAAAATTGCGTTCTCATATTGAACGTATTATGATGATAGTAATAAATAATTAAATACACTTATCTATAAAAATTCATACACATAAAATATTTTAAAAATTACTATCCAATTTTAATGTTCGTGTCATTTAATTATAGTTACAAAATTAGTAAATTTAATATATATTATTGAATTTCAGTAAAGTATAAACTTTGGTATAATTAACATTCTAGTCGAACAAACAGTTACAACAACGAATCGAATATCCATTGTTGCTTGAGAATTCTTTTTTAAAACAGCCATGGCCGTACTTGCCAACAATCGCGATCGTTGGAAATTGGTAGCGATAGCGTTTAAAGTGACCCAATTAAAGGGGATCTCTCCGAAACTTTTCCTCACATGGCCAACAGTCATCGGGAATCAATTATCTTGGCGGTTCCGCCCAAGCTATAAATAATTGTCCTCCTCCCACGAGCAATTATTCCGGTCTCGTGTACTTTGCCGATCGCTTCCGGAAATTCAGCGGGCCGGGCCGTATTTCAAGACACCGCACATGTTTTTATGTGCTCAAATTTGGCGAGTCGAAAATCTTGAGTTAGGATTGTGCTGTTTTTTTTTGTTGTACTATAAAAAAAAAAAACGGTTGGACTTTTTAATTTTTTTCTGTCGCGGTGAAAATGAGCGTATTCGTTTGAAGAGTCAGTCGGTTGCGCTATGAAATAAAAAAATCAACAAGATATCGAGCGAATGGAGTGTAAGAAATGAAAAAAAATTGATAAAAACAAACGTTATTCAGGACCAGGAGCACCTGAAGCCGCAAATCGTGCACGCGCTGTCGAACGCGGAACTGTACTGCCTGGCCCTGGCGAACATATACTCGGACCCAAATTACCACAATCAAAATCACACCGGCATACTGCAGGCCCTGGCGCGCAAGGGTGTCTACGTTGCCGAGCCAAACAGCACACCGCTCACCGAGACCAACCTCATCCAGAATTCACCACTCAAAATGGTAATTTATCAACCTTTGTTTTGCAAAAGTACACTTACAAGGGTGACAAGGGGGTGTTTTTTTTTTTTTTTTTTTTTTTTTTTTTTTTTTTCTTCACTTGAGCAATAGTATTTTACTCGTCTTTGTATGTTTTCTAATGGGAAAAATTATTATTTTTGTTTTTTTATAATTTTTACAAAAATTTATAAGTAGATGTCGCTTTTACTATGATCGATTTGCTGAATGGTTTCACCATCTCTATTAAATAATTGAACAATTGCGACTTTTAAAAATGTGTTAAATCTGTCCTAAACTATCTAATTCAGCAGTGATGGTCAAAGAGTCAAATGCTTACAAAAATCATGTCGATTCATTTAGCAAACGCTTATTAAAAACTTGAAAATTGAATAACTTGAATTGGTTATTGACGGGCACACTACTTGTCAAAAAAAAAAAAATAAAAATAAAAATAAAATGAAATAAGCACCAATAATAAAGCATACAAATTTTTAATATAGATGCAGATTCGTAGAAGGACTCAAAGCATGCTAAGAAATTTTTTTTTTAACTTGGGGGACTCTTAGTGATTATTTCTTGTAAAATCACTCATACAGTTACGTAAAAATATTANAAAAAAAAAAATACCTCTCGTCGTATACCACATAATATACACACACGCGCGCACAAAATAGTCCTGCAACTAAAACATTTGCACGTGTTCCCGTGTAGTCCGCGCATATGGCTGTGATAGAAGGCCTGATGGTCTTGTACGCGAAGGAGGTGGTAACAGGTGAGCGCGTGCTCGCCGCGGTGCAGCGCTTCGAGCCCCATCCCGAGCACATGAGTCCTCCCCAGGACCACGAGCGGGGCCTCCTGCTCTGGATAAGCCACGCCACGGCCGGCCTTGTCGCCAAAATCCAATCGGGGCAACACCAGCAGGACCCGGCCGCCAACGGCAAGCTACTGCCCGAATTGCCCCCGGCCAAGGACCTCCAGTCGCTGTGCGACGGCGTTGGTCTGGCCGCCGTCGTCGCTTACTACTGCCCGAACGAGCTCAGCTGGACGGACATACGGGTGTCCAAGAGGCCCTCCGTCGCCGACGCCCTGCACAACCTCGCCCTCGTACACGCGTTTTGCCTGCGGTGTCTGCCTTACCCGATCTTCCACATGCAACCCGAGGACGTTACCTACATGAGGGGGTACGTGTTGGTTCTTTCTTTCCCTCCCCCCCTTGTATCGTAAACAAGTGACTGACACAAGTCTCCCCCCCCCCATCAGGTCCATGAAGCAAAATCTGGTTGTCTTTCTGGCCGACATGTACAACGTCCTGGAGATACATCCGGCCAAATGTGTGCGCTACCCTGGCGGTGACAAGGCGCAGCAGTACTTGGACGGTGAGTGTTATATCCGTCTCGAGATACAATTTGGTGGGATGACAGTAAAATCTTGGCGCAAATCGGGATGAATATAATCAGTTTTTTTTTTTTTTATTTGATTTGGTGGCGGGTCGTAAGATAATACATTTTGTACAAAACCACTGATGGATGGGCTGGCCAGCACGTCTCGAAATTTACTTGCGACTTTTCTTTTTTTTTTTTTTTTTTCAATATAAATATACTATTGCGTTCGTGTATTTTGATTGCAGACAAATGCTTTTTTCTTGCTTCGGTTTGTGAGAAAATAAAAAATTCGTTTATTCGTTGCTGTGCACATTGGTTGTAAAATATTGTATATTTTTTTCATCGATTTGTGTGCAATCAAAGTGACGTGTAATGCTTCTTTTCGGTGTCGATTTATATACGCGCGCACGCTGTTTTTGGGCTGTATGTGTTGCCGTTGCACTAAATTGACCAAAAATTAAAACTCTCGGTTGCTGCCAACAAGCACACGCGCATACGTGCCAAACGGGGGTAAAGAGCAATGGCCAGCAATAACAACAACAACAGCAATGAATCTCTATACAGGAGTATTTTTAAGAAAATGAAATAAAATAACTGACGTGTTTTGTTGATCTCTCACATGTCTGTGTCAAAACTCTTCTGGACACACGGGGCGTCGTGGTAATCGTCGTGCTTCCTTGAAAAACAATCCTCAATCTCGCTCCGATGGCTTCGGAAAAAAAAAAAAAAACAAAACAAAAAAAAAACCCACCCAACACATTCTATCGCCTTTCTCGACGCATACACAGAGTTCCCACGCAATAATCACGGCGTGCCCCATAAGCGGAGCCTGCCGCAGTCCGTCACTCCGATACCTGATCTGAGAAGCAACCTCTCCATGTCCGCCCCGGGCTTCACAGGTACTTTTTAACACCCGGCTACTTCAACAACTTCATGCATATTGTGTCATCGATTTGTTTGAACCTTTTTTCTTTCTTTTTCCTTCTTCGTTCTTTTTTTTGTTTTTTTTTTGTTTTTTTTTTTTGTTTTTTATCCTCGTCGAGTTAGTCAGTAGTGTCTATGTGTTTATTTTATCTTGTGATTTTTATCACTTTTTTTTTTATGTGTTATAGTACTGTTTGAGAATGTCCTTCCGTTAGGGATTTTTTTTTGTTTTTTACGTAGTGTCTGCATTGTTTTACCAAACATCCGCACTGTCCGATCATTTGAACCGTTAAAGAATCTTGGACTCAAGTTACAACTGCTAATTACCACCGAATGAGTTTGTGCCAAGATTCATTGGTACTGCAAAATAACTCATCGATACAAAAACGAAAAAAATCATATCACCTCAGAAAATCCATAAAGATGTACATTGTGTCAAAATATTGAAAACAGACTCATGGCTTATATGGTGCTAATGACAACGCTTGCTAGCTTTCATCTTAATTTTTACTTGGCATGATGTTTATCTATTTTCGATTCAATGGTGATTACTGAATCACCCAAAGGACTTCCAGTGCACTCCAATCATTCACATTATTTTGCAATTATTTTGCACTCACATTTTTATCACTTGCATTGTTTTTCTAGTTTTCGCTGTACTCCATTTTTTATTTTTTATTTTTTTTTTTTATAAGCTTTGGTGGGAATATTTCTGTTGCAAACTTGCTCGAATGCTTCGATGTCGTTAGCGCAGTGAAAATAGAATCGTACTAATTATTATTTTCAGTGCAACTCTTTTGTAATTATATTGTATTCTTTTTTAATTATCCATAGTAAGTGTGTTTAATAGCATTGTTTAGATGATTTTTATAATTTTTTTTTATTTTTATCGGATTACTTATAGCTATGGTTTTATTTTTATTTTTCTTCTTTACTTTTTTAGATTAAATCCATGGTTTTTAATGCATCTAAAACCGTATTTTTTATTTATTAAAAATATAAACTAATATTAACATTATCGTTTGCTGTAGATGTATAAATTTATGAAACTGCACACGAATAATTGTATGAAATGTTAACATTTTAACTCATTAATCATGTCAAAAAAATTCATCTCTTTATCGAATAGTTTGCATTTCAACGTAATACATGTATAGTTGTAATAAATATGATCATTTTGTTTGCACTATTTTGTGTTTGTTTGTTGTTTTAGATGATAAGTTTGTAGTAATGAGTGTTTTCATATCTACTTGTCAAATTTTCGATTACTATATAAGATTTTTTTAAAATTTTAGTTACCAAGCCAGTGGTACAAAACATGTTAAAAAAGTCACAATCGATGCAGCAAACTGTGGAATCTCATCAAAACGATGAAAGGTATATCGTTATTATTAATTACTAGTTTAAGTGTTTTAATCTTAACTACAATTTAAATTCAAAATGATTTCAGACGTAAATTACAACATACTTTGTTTTTAAACCTTTTTTTATCTCTAAAATTTTTTTTTCATTCAGTTATGTAAAACATGAGCAATTTATTCTTTCAAGTCCGTTGCAATCATTCCTACATTTCAAAATATTAGTTTAGTTATTACATGGTTGGCGTGTAAATAAAAATCTGTAAATAAGCATACATAATTTAAGAGCATTAGAATTTTGCATAAATAAATATTCATGAAATTGAAGCTACGAAAATTACAATACTTGTTCTCAAAAAATAAATCGGAGGCGAAAAATCAAAAGTACCTGAAATTTTTTACTCTATAAAGTTATCAAGTACTTGCAGGATAATTAATCTGTAAAAGGTACAAACTTACACAAATTGTCAAAGCTATGATGTAGTTTTAGTATATTTTGGGATTAACACAATTTTTTTATATGTCAGAAAAACTAAACACACCCTGATGGAAATTATATATTTACGCATAAAATAGTTGTGTATAAAATATAAATTCTAAATGAGTAATTGCTGTGGATGGTGAAGAAAAATATTAAATTTTACGGTTTGTGTGTGATACAATTTTTTATTGTAAAATCTAGTATTGAAATTGATTGAGTAATTTATAAATTAACTGCAAAATTTAACAGCTAATTGCAAGATACGTATTAACATTTAATCACTCACTACTGACACAAAAACAACAGTCAAACGTCTCACTGCATATATGCAGCTTATAAGCTAATTTGCGAAAATTCAAAATACAGCGCTTGATTACCTAACCTTCTTTGCCGGCCACTCTAACCTATATTTTCACAATCAGCTGATTGATAAGTGCAATTATGATTTAACCAAAGCAAATTTGATCATTGTCATTTGGACTTGTATGCTGTGCGATTTAAAATAAAGACTAATTATCTTTACAGTCGGGAATCGAAAGTCTACTTGAGCTCTTTTTTTTGTTTTTGTTTAACGTGCAAGTGATCAGTTTTATCAAATGGTTTTAAGAAGTGATTCTTTTAAGACTCCTACATTATAGTTTAGCATGGAGAAATTGACTTCAAATGGGTAATTTGCAACTTTGTATTATTTTTTTTCTCTTGTATTAACGTCATTGGTAAAATTTATTGCAAGATTAACTCAATTCATGGACACATATTCACGAGCTTTTGTCAAGTTTGTTTACGTACGACTGAAGTTACGAATTTGTTGTGTGTTGTATATAGCTCAGTGCTACTATCCAACCACGTTAGTGTAATTACTTTTGCATATTTAATTCTGCCTGACCTTGGAAATTGTGCTTGCATCTGTCAACAAATTAGGTTATCTCCTATTTTTTGTGAAACACGCATTTGTAATTAGTTGAATCATACTTGTATTATGAAATTTTTGGTGTTTAAGTAAAATTAATGAGAATTCCTAATTCTTAAATATATAACTATTATGAGATATACTGTAGAAGCAATTAACTGGACACCACTTTGATAAAGTATACTTTCTCCTGATAAGGTCAAAATTAGTCATTGGTCATAATATATTTTGAGGGAACTCTGTTAACTTCTTGATTAAAAACTAATGACGAAATTCAGTGAGCCACATGCCTTATTTGACTATAGCTGCCATTGTCGGACTTTCGATTCTCTCTGTAAATTTATTTTTGCATGTTCGAGCTGATAAACAGGTCAGATAGACCTCGTAACTGAAATGACCAGTTAAAAGCTTGTTTTAATATTAATAACCACGAATTAAGTAGAAAATACAAAGGAAAAATATTATAAAATTGTACGACTAAAGTTGAAAAAACGACGCACGTTTTTCGGTTGTGTTCACAGAAAAATGACCGGCGACGAGGCTCCAGCGGTACCACCGCGCAACCGAGTGCCAACGCTGAGCTCAGTGTGCGATGACAAAACGTTGATACGTACGGAGGCCGCTGGTCGGCCGAGCAATTGGGAAGATCAGCGGCGGAGCTCGTACGCAGGTCGAAGATCCCGACGCAATAGCGTCACCCTGGCCGAAGACTCGCAACTAACAATAGAAAACTTCGGAGGGTCCCAAGTGAGAAACAATCTTGTTCACGAGACGTTATTAAAAAAAATTGAGGCTATTAGAGTAAGATTAGGATACATTATTTTATATTCTCTTATTACTACTTAGAGGCTTCTTCTTCTTCTTCTACTCCTCGTTTGTTCGTTGTTCGTTCATCTGTTCGTACTTCTGTTATCCGTTGTATTGTTTGTTTTGGTTCTTTTGTTATTAAGTATTTTCTACTTTTTTTTTTTTTTTTTTTTCATCCTCACACACTTGTGGAACGAGAGTTACTTATATGCGCTTGACATAGAAAATTAGTCCATAACTATACTTTTTCGCTGCTAGTCTCGCCAATGAGTGTCGCAAAGCTCCTCACAAAGTACATTTAATCGTCTCTTATGCAAGTCATATTTAGTTTAAAATGTAACTTTGATTAATCCACTGGAAAATGTAACTTTGAAAATTTGCAACTCTCTCTCTTAAGTAGTTAACAATATTTTTATTGTCTGTTTTAAAAACATTAACAGTAAATATGAGCTGTACGATTTTTCAATGCCTTGCATACAAATATAGTCATTCCTTGCAATTGGTTTTCATTAAATCACTATCAACTCAAAAGTGATTAACAATCTATCTGTTGTAATGCTGTGCACATCATCAATCATTTTTATTGTGGGGTTTTTGTTGGATTTTTCAAACATTTTGCTTGATCTTTCATTAAAAAGCTTCAACATAAGTCTGCGTACTCGCAAAGTAATTTAAAAAAAAAAAAACAAAAAAAAAATCTTCAAAGCTTCATCACGTACACCTGCAATCGCCTAGAGCACCACATTTTATACAACCATCACGATAGTAATCCTTGGCTAGAACCTCGTAATTCTGGTGTCCCGAGCTTTAGACATCCGCTCTCCTTGCCATTATAGCCGCACACCACAGAACCGTAGTTTTGCACACCCTAAAAACCCGGAGCTCGCGACGAAATCAACTTCCCCATTGGCGAGTCGACTAGCAGCACACTGGGTGTCGAATGTAACGAGATACGAGGTGTGGGTGTGTTGTTATTTTTCGTTCCAGGACAACCTGCACAACATCGGCCGCAACCCGGACAAGGTGGTGGCCAAACACATACCCCGGCACCCGAGGCTCGTAGCCGAGCCGGTACTGCCGGCTCGCTCCAGCATCCAGGACGCGTACAGCAGCGGCGTCCACCTGATCATCGCTGACAACGGGCACGCGGACAACGACGACGCGCCACCTCCGACGAGGCTCAGGCGGCACGTGTCGCTCAAGAATATACTACATTCCACGGAGAACGAGGGTACAAGCAGCAGCACGAGCGCGGCCAACAGTGGCAACGCCACCAGTAGCAGTACTCCCGCCGCGATGCCGGACAGCGAGTCCAGCGCCGAAAGCACGATCGGTGGCAACGGGAGTATCACGAAGATGGCGAGCTTCGCGAATCTGAGCAAGAGCTCGGACAAGGGGATCAATCTCACCTACCAGGAGAGCAAGGATTCAAGGCAGAGCTCCAGGGTCGAGCCGCTACTGACCAAGACCAGTAAGAAGCCACCAGCTGCGCCCAGCGAACACAACAACGGCTACGTGGAGAAGAAAGCCACTTTTGCCACCCTGCCGAATATGACGAGCTGGCAGGAGCAAAGGCAACAGCAGCCGGTCACTGCCGAACGATCCTCCACAGGTGCTTATGCGATGCGCATTACGGTATCTCTGCTCTCGCGTGTTGCGCCGGGGGATGAAGTTTTTATGAAATTACCGACGCTGTGTGGTGAACGTGTGCTTTTGTGCTCTCTTTTAGATGAAAGCAACGGCAACGTGGTCATGGCATCCCAGCTGAACAACATTCGGCTGAAGTTGGAGGAGAAAAAACGACACATCGAAAACGAAAAGCGAAAAATAGAAATCGTCATGTCGAAACGAAGACAGAAGGTCGGGAAAGCTGCGTTTCTTCAGGCTGTCACGAAGGTAAGTTTTTTCTTCCAATCCTCCCGTTGTTTCCCCCTTTCTTTTTTGGTTGAGTAATTTGATCGAAGCGTTTGGAATATATATGTATGCGACCTCTCGACGATTGTGGAGTGTATTTGAGTGTGTTTGTACGATTACTTTTGTTACTATTATTTACCCTCTTCAATTCAATTTCTAATCAAGTTCACGGAGTTTGTTAAAAAATATGGCCGCTGCATGAATATCACGTTTCATTTACTTACTACTAAATAATGCGTATGTCAATTGATTTAATATTTTTATTAAAATTCCTCTTTAATATGCACCGCACGCTAAGTATACACAATTTCGCAACGATTGTCCAATTCTGTATGCACAAGTATAACTTGTGTTGCTGAGATTCTGTTGATGTTTAACTTCATTGGATGATTATAGAAAACGAAAAACTACAGAATTGACTGTCTTTTCGTATTTTTAACTTGGGCATTGTGTGCCATAGAGCAAGTGCTTTGTTTAGATTAGTAAAATCACTCAATCGCATTGCTAGAGATTCAAATGACACAGCAGTAGTACACAGCAAAAATCACGCCACTGATCCATAAAATTTGACATTATAGAAAGCATGATATTTGCTGTGTACACCAAATGCCATGGCAAATCTTGCTTATCGATATCACTTGTCGCATTCATGAAACATCGGCATTGATCGTCACTTCTAAAGTCAAGTCAAAATTCAGTATATCAATGAAGTTGAGCAGCAGAAGAGAAATGGATAGCTCACCAAGCAACCCAAGCACAAAACTAAAATGTCGCTTGTAATGTGACAATGAACTAAAAAAAAAAAAAAAAGCAAGCTATAGCAAGTACTTAATCAACAGAAAGATGTTCTGTGGTGGTGGTGGATTGTGTGTGAGTACCTAACCAGGCAAGCCTTTGTGTGGTGGTTGGCTCGTTGCAGGGTAAAGTTAAGTCCCCGTCCTCGTCGACATCCGGTGGCGACAGTCCTGTGGATATGGGCCCTCCTCCTCCTACTTGTGCGACCATAACTAGCAGTAGTAGCCAGTGCATTGCCGTCGATGAGCACTCGTCCGTCGTCTCTTCTTCTTCCTCTTCTTCTCCTGCGAAGTCCGCTCTAGGCAATAATCAGCACTTGCCTTCTACGGACAGGCCACCACGGCCCTACTCCTTAAAGGTAGGCAATCATCATTGAACAACAACAACCACTACGACAGCAGCAGCAACGGCGGCCAGCCCAGTTCCCATGTTACATATATTGTATAGGTGTCAACTTGCTCCCTTTTCCCGATTTTCTACCATAAATACGGGACATTTACGTCATTCTCCACTAGTTTTTTTTTTCTCCTGGAAAAAATTTCATGTTTGGCTACATTAGTATACAATATGGGTTTTTGACAAAAATTTTAATATTTTTAAACAGTGTAAAATAATTGAAGAACTGGGAAAGTTTAATGGCTATTTACCCTTTATTGTAAATTATTTGTGCAATCGTGGGTATTGAACATTGACATTGAATTTTTTCCGTTCGTCCATGAATTCACGTTTCATTATTTTTATCATTGCGAAATTTAGTTTGGCAATTTAGTACTTTGCAATGTTGTTGTTGGAAAAGAAAAGTGTCGACTCGAGTACTTGTATACTTTTGTCAGGAATTTAAGTAATTATGCTTGTGACATGATTAATTGTTTCGTTGATTGGTCATTTTCACTGCGAATGTTACGTGTTAGAATTTGTTCCTTGTACTTTGCACACTCTGTTGCTTTTAACACACTGTTTTTCCGATAATTTACCGAAAACATCGTAAAATCTAATATTATATTCTCAGCAAAATTAATGTGATCCATGTGAAAAAAAAATTACAGTAAAAACTCTATTTTCACAATAACCACGTGATCGGAGTACAAGAGTGATTATTTTGCGAGTCCGAGAGTGCAAAGTGCAACAAAACTTTTTCACTTGTCAAGTTTTTATTCGAACCATTGTTGAGCATTTACAAACATTTTTATAGTGCTCTTTTGCTTATACCTTTTATGCTTATTAAATCAACAACTACCTTGTACCAAAAAACCAATGACACAAGCGACGAAATATCGGAAACCATTTTTAACTCGCATAATATATCGATACACTTGAACGTACATACTATATAATGTTTATTGACCAATAGTTCCCGCATTTATAATTTACTCACCTATTTTATACCGTGGGCTTGTGGGTTAATTTTATTTGTTACTGCTTAACGTTGATTTAACTTTTTGCACTTTTATTTATTATTATTATTAAGGTGGTGGTGATGGTATATTACAATATAAACTGTGTGCAAATGTGGTTTGTAAGTTGAGCCGTGGTTGTTGCTCCGTTAAACTGATGCGAGACTCCCATTGGGATCTCGTTCGCGAGCGTGTACAATTGATTTCCTCCGCAAATATGATTGATGCACGTGTAAGGATATACAGTCGAGAGACAGGACTGTGCAATATCTGGGCTAAGAGCCTTGACATCATCCTGTACTTAAATTATTTTTTTTTTCTTTTTCCTAAGTTGTACACAATATATATTCCTATTGATCAAACAGGAAGGACAAATGGGATTTTTACATATACCGGTCTCGTGGGCGAGTTTGTCTCTTTTCGACTTCTTCTTTTTTATTATTATTATTTTTTTTTATGTAAGTAACTGGCGTTTCGTCGTTGCTGCCAAAGTGTCTTTTCTCCGTTTGCGTATCGTATGGTTTTTGATCCGGTTAAATTACTGTTATTTATATGAAAAAATTTTTCTCTTTTGGTAATGGGTCAGTTTATCTCGTCGGTTTGATGATTTTCATCACGATTTCGATGAAACATGAGCTTCCGGAGAGTGGCCAAGTATTTCATGTACAAAAATGTACGGTATATTTTTAACGAGAATACGAATTTTTTTTTCTTCCCCTTCTTTTTTTCAAGAAATAATTTTATTATATACTTTGAGCAAATCACTATATAAATCTGTGTTTTTCAACAAATCTGAAAAAAAAAAAAAAAAAAAAAAAACAAACAAACAGGAGATCAGCGAAGATGTGCGGGACGTGGAGCACAAGTGGCTTGACCAGGACGCCGCGCCCTTCGTGGAGACGCGCCGGACGCCGGACATCGAGAACATGGACTACGAACAGTACCATCAATCGATATCCCAGTGAGTGTTTTGTTTGTATCACGATCCATTTGGTTGAACATTTTATTAATCTTCTTCTTCTCTACAGTATGAACAACAGCTTGAGCGAAATTCAGCAGGACATTCAGCGTCTGGCCAACCAGCAGAATCAAATCCAACAGCATCACCTGATGACGCAGCATCAGCAACAAATGCAGCAACAGCTGCAACAACTTCACAGTCTTAGTCAGCAGCATTTACACGTTAGTTTTGAACACTTATTCTTTTCTTCTTCTTTATTTCGTGATTTTGTGGCGTCAATGTTTTTCTCTTTATTCCTCAGTACGGCGTGACTCCGCCAAATCCAATGACGCAGAGGGTACACGAGCAACAACAGTCTCAGTTTTACCTTCACGATCAACCACAAGTGCCAAGACGTACGTGGGGTCAGCCACAGCCAATACAATTAGGAAACGATATGTCTGCCGTTGGATACAATCAGTCCATGGACACGCGTTATGTTCCTCCCTCAGGTGACAAATTGTCATTGATTTAAATGTGCAATCAGAACAAACAAAATAAAATCCACTCTTGACAAACAATTGTTTACAGTGTATCAACAAGACTCGCGCATGTATCAGGACACGAGAGCGTGGGGCATGCCGATGCCGATGCAACAGCAGCCCCAGACACCGCCGCAACAGCAACAGCAACAAAAGGGCTTTATTTTACATGACACGTCGCAGGAGCAGCGATACCTTAACGGTGGCGAGCACAGCTTGCCGAGCAATCAGCATCACATGTCTTCGTACCCGGTCGCGCAAACGCTTTTTAATCAGACGCCACCATCCTCTGCTAGTCCACAACATCGCAATGCTGTGAGTTCTTTGTTATTATTTTATCAGACTGGAGGTGAGGGTAGGGGGGATGTGTAATCGTGTAAATTAAACATTTTATTTCTTATTATTGAATTAAATTATGGAAAAAACAAAAAACGCCCAACAGTACGTGAATGGTAATATTTTTCGGCGTAGAATATTATTCCTTCAACACGAGCTGCGCATGATTTTTTTCCAATTCATTTCACGCACTAGTTAATCGTAAAACAATTTTCGCAACGCGTCACCGATACTCTCCTCACTCTGCACTTAACCAGCCGGTATGCCGAGTCGCTCAGCATTGTATGCATAGCCGCTTTTACGAGCGCGCGGATTCGAGCCTCGCGCATACGTGTATATTTATACCATTCTTTTTCCCCATTGAGAAAACACATCTCAAATATACCTTTGCTCGCCGAACAACTCGCGGGTGGGTGTGTACGGGGAAAAAGAGAAGAAGAAAAAAAAAAGAAGACAGTGGGAAAGGAAGAGGGGAAGGCAACAAAACCAGTTGGTGATGTAAGGCGCCACTTATAGATAGATACCGGGAGTGCACAGAGCCCTGCAGCATGGCTGGTCAAAGCGTGGATATACAGATACACAAACTACTTACTTATAGGTACCCGCTCTATTCTCTCTCCCACACGCGCTTCGTGCACTTACTGCTGTCTGCAGTTCTAGTGCTCGGTCTTTCCCAATCTACACTGTATTACGTACGTCACCTGCAAACACACTTTAGTGCCCGGTGTTTTCTAATGTCCGCACGAAACGAGTGTATCTGTTTTCATTCATCTTGCGTTGTTATTCCAGCTGCCGATGTTAGTAGGCTCGTGGGTGTTTGTACATGTGTAATATACTAACCGGGGGGGGGGCTGTGTTTTCTTTTTTTTTCCTTTTGTTTTGTGTAATTTTTCTTCGATACGATTGTCACGTTTGTTTGATTGTTTCACGTGATACTGAGTTCAAACACGCGTTGGAGTGATTATGAAAAATATGAAAATCCAGTGCGCTACGTTTCTAACGCATTAAATAATTAAAAAGACTGCGTTGATAGCTGTCAACATTTTTATTTTCACATAATTGACGTGCCTTATCGGAACTCGCCGTTCCAGTGTTATCTGTTTTCTTCTATCGTCATGTATTAAAATTATTTCAAAATCACGCGTTCAGCTTTGATTGGCGTTTAAAAAATTAGTACCCCCAAAAACACCGACTGGCCGTATTTCACATTATCAGAGTTTCTCAAACTTGAATATTAAAGCATCTATTATTAGTACTTCTTTTGCCCTGCTTCTGTACATTTCTGTTTTCTTTACACGCAAAACAAAATTGATCAGTTTATTTGTCGTATAATAAAAATTATATTTGTTCAAGGTTCATCGAATAAGTCAGTTGATGAACGACAGTTCAGATGTTAAAAGGCAAAACATGCACCACATGCCAATGTCATGTGAAAGTCCTTTGGATAAGAAAATGAACTCGATGCCACCTGAAGACTTGGAGCCACAAAATATGTCATATTTGGGTAAGCTCGCACTAGTGCGGAATAATTACTGTGTGTTGACAAACCGTCCAACAAAACACGACTGGTCTTTTCAGCCAACGAAGAAGAGTTCACCCAGGGCATTCGAAATTTGAATATATCATCGGGCAGCCGAACGTACAGGATACCATCGCCGACGAGGCCATCGCTGTCGAGGAACTCGTTTCAACCTCACACGTCACTGCGAGAAACGACTCCGTCGCCGTCCGGCAACGCAGCGGAAGTTGTGCCATTGGACTCGAGCGATGCCGGCGAGAAGGGCTTTTATATCTCGTTCGACGACGCGCCTAAAAAGCCCAAACCTTCGCTCAGGACGAAAAAAGCCTCTCCCAAAAAGGTTAGTCAAAGTTAACCAAATGAAAATGCTTTCAGCAATAAGTTCAAGATATCTTTTTTTGGTAGTTCTGTCGGCTCGGTGACGTTATGTTACAACAATTTCTTGTGTATATTGCAGGAAAGAAGCTTATCCGCGTATTTGGATCATCAGGAGGATTACATGGCACGTTATGAGTCGCCACCCGTGAGCGCGACTCTCGACAGACAGCGTCAAAGCGCACAAAAAGATTTGGAGAAAGAAAAACAGAGATTGGCCGAAGAACGCGACCAACATCAGCAAGAGTTGAGGGAAAGGGAGGCGCAGCTGGAAATAGCCAGAGAACGACAGCGGGAACGGCAGAAAAGCGAAGGTGACGGTCGGCATAGTAGCGTCGGCCTGGTCATAGGCAACCAGCTGGCGAATCCAGATCCTGTAAGTGTGATTTTTGTGCCCAATTAGTTTTCTTCGGGAAATCGTTGAGCCGCAGTTGTTTATTGTATCGTGCTTTGCAGAATTCCATAGATGAAATGGAAAAGAAAAAGGAAAAGATAATGCTCTTGTCGCTGCAACGAAGGCAGCAGCAAGAGGAAGCAAAGGAGCGAAAAGAAGCGGAATTGCAAGCTCGCCGGGAAGAGGAGAAAATGAAAGAAGAGGAGAAGGCAAGGAAGAAAGAGGAAGAAAGGCAAAGAAGAGCCGCTATTCTGGAGCAGTATAAATTGAAGAAAGCCATAGAAGAAGCTGAGAGAGAAGTAAATAAATTCTTTGGATAAAGACTGTGTCGAAAAAACAAGCGGCGCAGTTGAGTTCAGATTATAGTGATGTAATTTTTTTCTTTTTTTTTTCTTCAATCAGGGTAAAGTAATTGACAAAGACTTGCTGAACGCTTTGAAGCCAGCTAAGCTCCGAAACAAGGCCGCTTCCGGTCGACCGCGACCGAAAACGATACACGTCGATGCTGGTACGGATTTGGACTCTGGTGTGTTAACGCCAAGCAGGGGGAAAAAGGGTTCGTCTTCGAATCTGAGTACAGGTAAATTTGACAGCTGCATTGCAGAAATCGTTGATGAATATTGGTACATGTTTCTCGGATATTCGAGCTCTGATCAGTTATCAAAAGTTGAAAAAATTACTCGTGTCACTTAACGATTGGTTTTTACACACTTGTGAACGAATTCCGAGAAATAGTTTGTAAGTGAACTGAATTTTAGGAGTTTGCCGACCCCCCTCGATTATCAGTGTTAATAAATTTGTCATAGTTGATTAATGTCGCTAATGTTCGTATGTTGCATGGCATAAGTTTTTATATGTAAAAAGCATTTTTTGATACTCTAGATAGTGCCACGTTTTTACGTCCTTAATGAGCTTTCTTGATGTTTTTTCACGTGTGTTTTCTACTTATTTATTTATTTATCTTAAACACAAACAAGACGAGCTCAAAAAATTCTGTCCTGTACCCTGTACTTGGTTTTGTGATCTCGTAAAGTAACAGAAGGGATCAGTATTTGATTAAACGATTAATTTACACCAATGCCATCTTTTACAAAAAGTACAAGTTTTTAAGTAAAGAACGAAAGGATAGAAATTTTGAGCTGATTGACAATTGTTTGGCACTTGAAACACTTATATAGCGTCGCTGATGTCACCGACAATGAGGCGAGACTACTATCGAGGCTCCCAAGACAGTCTCACTGCGGCGCATCTCGAGGAACGGCGTTCCAATTCCCTATATCGAGGTAGCAGCCTCAGGGGTATGCACATAATCACACATACACCACCGACACTAACATTTTAGCTTATAGTCTGTGCATTATTTTCACTTTACTTTGAATGAAAGCAGGACATATATTATAATTGTTTTTTCTTTTCAACGTGAGGTTTTCGTTATTTAGCATCATACGAGATCTTTCATTCTGTCATATCTTGATCACTTTGTAACATCTACTTGATTATCAACTGTTTTTCATTACGTTTCCAAAAAATAATGGTTAACTACATTTTTACAACATGAATAAACTTGAGTTTCGCAACAACATTCTGTTTACGAAGTACATAGTAAATTTTTGAAATTCCAACAACAGTTTCAATTGTAATCATTCACGTGTTTACAAGACAAAAGTTGTATTCGGATACATAATTTTTAATTCTCAATCTTTTTCACTGACTGATTTCTTTAGACTTTTCACTTCACTCATTCATCATTCAACACATCGATATCTCTTGAACATCCCCACGCTCATACCTACTTTCTATTCCGTAAGCACTGCATGCCCATCATTTGCATCTCTGTTAGTACCTCTAGATAGAATTGAAGAAAATAATAACACCCCATCACAATCTCAACATCGTGCATTAACAAAAACACGCGCTTCGTGCACTTACTGCTGTCTGCAGTTCTAGTGCTCGGTCTTTCCCAATCTACATTGAACATTGACATTGAATTTTTTCCGTTCGTCCATGAATTCACGTTTCATTATTTTTATCATTGCGAAATTTAGTTTGGCAATTTAGTACTTTGCAATGTTGTTGTTGGAAAAGAAAAGTGTCGACTCGAGTACTTGTATACTTTTGTCAGGAATTTAAGTAATTATGCTTGTGACATGATTAATTGTTTCGTTGATTGGTCATTTTCACTGCGAATGTTACGTGTTAGAATTTGTTCCTTGTACTTTGCACACTCTGTTGCTTTTAACACACTGTTTTTCCGATAATTTACCGAAAACATCGTAAAATCTAATATTATATTCTCAGCAAAATTAATGTGATCCATGTGAAAAAAAAATTACAGTAAAAACTCTATTTTCACAATAACCACGTGATCGGAGTACAAGAGTGATTATTTTGCGAGTCCGAGAGTGCAAAGTGCAACAAAACTTTTTCACTTGTCAAGTTTTTATTCGAACCATTGTTGAGCATTTACAAACATTTTTATAGTGCTCTTTTGCTTATACCTTTTATGCTTATTAAATCAACAACTACCTTGTACCAAAAAACCAATGACACAAGCGACGAAATATCGGAAACCATTTTTAACTCGCATAATATATCGATACACTTGAACGTACATACTATATAATGTTTATTGACCAATAGTTCCCGCATTTATAATTTACTCACCTATTTTATACCGTGGGCTTGTGGGTTAATTTTATTTGTTACTGCTTAACGTTGATTTAACTTTTTGCACTTTTATTTATTATTATTATTAAGGTGGTGGTGATGGTATATTACAATATAAACTGTGTGCAAATGTGGTTTGTAAGTTGAGCCGTGGTTGTTGCTCCGTTAAACTGATGCGAGACTCCCATTGGGATCTCGTTCGCGAGCGTGTACAATTGATTTCCTCCGCAAATATGATTGATGCACGTGTAAGGATATACAGTCGAGAGACAGGACTGTGCAATATCTGGGCTAAGAGCCTTGACATCATCCTGTACTTAAATTATTTTTTTTTTCTTTTTCCTAAGTTGTACACAATATATATTCCTATTGATCAAACAGGAAGGACAAATGGGATTTTTACATATACCGGTCTCGTGGGCGAGTTTGTCTCTTTTCGACTTCTTCTTTTTTATTATTATTATTTTTTTTTATGTAAGTAACTGGCGTTTCGTCGTTGCTGCCAAAGTGTCTTTTCTCCGTTTGCGTATCGTATGGTTTTTGATCCGGTTAAATTACTGTTATTTATATGAAAAAATTTTTCTCTTTTGGTAATGGGTCAGTTTATCTCGTCGGTTTGATGATTTTCATCACGATTTCGATGAAACATGAGCTTCCGGAGAGTGGCCAAGTATTTCATGTACAAAAATGTACGGTATATTTTTAACGAGAATACGAATTTTTTTTTCTTCCCCTTCTTTTTTTCAAGAAATAATTTTATTATATACTTTGAGCAAATCACTATATAAATCTGTGTTTTTCAACAAATCTGAAAAAAAAAAAAAAAAAAAAAAAAAAAAAAAAAAAAAAAAAAAA